CATCCCCAGCCCCAGCTGCATCCCCAGCCCCAGCTGCATCTCCAGCCCCAGCTGCATCCCCAGCCACAGCCACAGCCACAGCCACAGCCACAGTCGCAGCCACAGCAGTAGCTCCAGCCACTTCCCCAGCTGCATCTCCAGCCCAAGCTCCAGCCCCAACCCCAGGCCCAGCTGCAACCCCAGCCACAGCTGTAGCTACAGCCCGAGCCCCTGACCCAACCCCTGCCCCAGCAGCAGCCACAGCCCCAGTTGCTGCTGCATTCCTAGCTACCACCTCAGTCCCTGCCCCTGTTGCAACCCCTGCCCCAGCTACAGCCCCTGCCCCAGTCCCAAGCCCAAGCCCAAGCCCAAGCCCAAGCCCAAGCCCAAGCCCAAGCCCAAGCCCAAGCCCAAGCCCAAGCCCAAGCCCAAGCCCAAGCCCAAGCCCAAGCCCAAGCCCAAGCCCAAGCCCAAGCCCAAGCCCAAGCCCAAGCCCAAGCCCAAGCCCAAGCCCAAGCCCAAGCCCAAGCCCAAGCCCAAGCCCAAGCCCAAGCCCAAGCCCAAGCCCAAGGCCCTGCCCTAGCCTCAGCCCCAGCCCCAGTCCCCACAAGTAAGTCAAAGCCTGCAAGTCAGGAGCCTAGTGTGACTCTTCGCAAGGGCAACCAGGAGGGGCAGATCTCAACTAGCTGGGGAAATCTTATTTCAATGGTTCTTAGGAGTCACCCCTTCCCCAGGCTAGAGAGGCCCCAAGGGACAGCCCTAAGGGCAGCTCCAGAGAGCCCTAGAGAGCCCTGTACTTTCACAGCCTCGGAGAACAGGGAGCCTGGTTCTCTCCCTGAAGGGGCCATCCCTAGTCTCAAGGACAGGCATGGCTCCCCAGCTGGGGTGGCTACAGGGGCTGGCACAGGGGGCCTGGCTGAGGCAGGATGTCAGCCGCAGCACAGAAGCTCTGAGGCTAACGAGGCTGCAGTGCCCAGGGCCCCAGCTCCGCTGTCGCTGTCGGAGCAGAGGAAGCCTGGCCCTGCACCCATTCCCTCTGCCAGGCGGGACCCGCAGCCTGTCCCCAGGCCACGGAAACACAGCATGTGTGAACTAGCCAAGAGCTCTGAGCTGAAGGCCAGCCAGGCGGCCCCAGGAGAGGCGCCAGGGAAGAGGCCCAGCCCTGTAGGCAGCAGGGAGGTCCTCACAGAGGAGCAGAAAGAGGCCCGCAAACTCATGGTGTTTCTGCAGAGGCCTGGGACCTGGGGGGTGGTGGAGGGGCCCCGGAAGCCCAGCTCCCCTGCCCGGGAGCCGGCTTCGGCAGCAGCTCTGCAGCGGCGGCTGGACCTGGGCAGCTGCCTGGATGTCCTGGCCTTTGCCCAGCAGCACGGGCAACCCGTCCTGGCCCAGGAGACCTATGCTTTGATGAGCGACAATCTGCTGCACGTGCTGGGCGACCCGAACCTCTACCGGCAGCTGAGTGGGGCCGACCGGGAGCGCATCCTGAGCCTTCGAACTGGCAGGGGCCAGGCTGTGCTGGGGGTCCTCGTGCTGCCCAGCCTCTACCAGGTGAGCCGTCCAGGGCTCACAAGGGGCCCTCGAGTGGAGGAGGCTCCTGCCACAGGTCCTGCGCCCCTGCCTCCTCCATCGCACCTGCACGTGTTCAACCCCCAAGAGAACACCTGGCGGCTCCTGACCCAGGTGCCGGAAGAGGCCCCGCTGCGGGGCTGTGGCCTCTGCACCATGCACAACTACTTGTTCCTGGCAGGGGGCATCCGTGGCTCAGGCTCCAAGGCCATCTGTTCCAATGAGGTCTTCTGCTACAACCCTCTGACCAACATCTGGAGCCAGGTGCGGCCCATGCAGCAGGCCCGTGCCCAGCTCAAACTGGTGGCCCTGGACGGGCTGCTCTACGCCATCGGTGGCGAGTGCTTGTACAGCATGGAGCGCTACGACCCCCGCACAGACACCTGGACCTCACGGGCGCCCCTCCCCGCAGGCACCTTCCCTGTGGCTCACGAGGCTGTGGCCTGCCGTGGGGACATCTACGTCACTGGGGGCCACCTCTTCTACCGCCTGCTCAGGTACAGCCCGGTGAAGGATGCGTGGGAGGAGTGCCCCTATAGCGCCAGCCACCGGCGTTCCAGCGACATGGTGGCACTGGGGGGCTTCCTGTACCGCTTTGACCTGCTGCGGGGGGTGGGTGCCGCTGTGATGCGCTACAACACCGTGACAGGCTCCTGGAGCAGGGCCGCCCCCTTGCCCCTGCCGGACCCTGTCCCGCTGCGCTGCACCGTGCTGGGCAACACCATCTACTGCCTCAACCACCAGGTCACTGCCACCTTCACGGTCTCCGAGGGGACTGCCCAGTTCCAGGCCAAGGAGCTGCAGCCTTTCCCCCTGGGGAGTAAAGGGGTCCTCTGTCCATTCATCCTGACTCTGCCCCCCTCGGACCCGCTACAGACTTCCCTCTGAGCTGCGCCAGGACTGCCGTGCCCCTCTTCAGGCAGACTCTGGGCCAGGCTGTGAGGCGGGTGGGGCAGGGGAAAGGGGCTGCTCTTCTTTCTGGGACAACTTTCCTTTTCTGTTATAATGAGCCTCATGTCTGGCCCTCCTTCTCCTGCGCGAGAGCCAGGCTCCCTGTACCTGGAAGCTGGTGGCGTGGCGTCCCTACCACAGCCACGTGCCTCCTGCTTTATTATTGAGTCCTTGCTCCAGTGCCTCAGCTTGCTCTCAGGAATCCTTCTCCGTGCAAAGGACCCCCACCGGCCAGATTCCTGCCACAGCACCAACCACACTGCCTGGAAATAATCCGCCAGGGACCCCGGGGTCCCCATGAACCTGGACTTGGCTGGCTGAGGAGTTGGCAACTGCTGGGCCCAGGAAGGAGATGGCTTCCCTAGGCCTCCCAGCTAGGCAAGAGGCCCATGAGGGGCTGGAAGAGGGAACAGGGAACAAATAAGTCTCCAGAAAAACGTTCTAGCCTCTGGGATTTTCTGCCCGTCCTGAGGCCTTGGGGAACCTGGCTTGGCTGTTCCCAGAAACAACTCTTAGGTCCCCTTTGTCTGAAACCCTTGTCTGTGACACTGCTCTGCTGTCTGGAGCCCCTGCCCATAACCCCAGCCTAGACCAGGACTGCTGGGGCTCATGTCCTTCTGCAGCCTTGTGGGGTCTCTCCCACCTGCTCAGCCCCTCCATTTCCCACCCCACTTCCCACTAACTCTCTTCTTACATGAGACCTGGGCGCACCCCAGCTCTGCCCCTTATTAGCTGTGGGACTTGGGCGAGACATCTGTCTTCTCACCTGTGAAGTGGGGATAATGGGCATGTCACTCAGGGGAATTCTGAGAACATAGGTCACATATATGAGCACCTGGCACAGCCCACTTTGGAACCCTCCACAGGAAGGAAAATAAATCTGAATACGGCAGCCCGTCCCACCCTCTGACCTGGTTTGTCCCTGGCTGGCCCTTGTTGCTTTTTATTCTATGCTTGTCACTACATATGCTTCATTCATTGGCAGCATCTGCATCTTACACACCCCACATTTTGTTCACAAGGTTTCACATGGAGCTGGGGGGACAGAAAGGAGTCCTCAGGATGTGCTTGAAAATAAGTTTATTGAGAAACAGGTGCAATGCATGCAGCTGTGTGTTTGGGTCACTGTTTCTTTGCCAGGCAGAGAAGGCTCCACCCGCTGTGGCTCTGCACACAGACAGACCCAGCATGGCGGCTGCGGGGTGGGGTCGGGGGCCTACTGTGTGCGCTTGGTCTCACTAAGCAGCTCTTGCCAGTTCTTCTCCATCTCTTCCTTGCAGTTGAGGAAGGCGTCCTCCAGCCGGCGCATGGACTCTGCCAGGGTGGGGTTGGTGCGTATCACCACCATGTCGTAGGCCATCCATGTGGCTTGCACTGCAACAACCAGACAGGCCTGGTCAGGCCACAGGATGGGGCTGTGGTGCCGGAGCACCCCAGGGACCATACCAGGCTGAGTGACCCAACTATTCTAAGGAGAGAAAGCTGGGCAGCCACTTGATACAGGGCTCACAACCTCCCACCCCCCCCACCCCCCGATTAAAACTACTCCCTTCACAGAGCAGTAATGAAACTTCTCTAATCTCACACAAGCCTTAACTTCTGGATATATCAGCCATGACACTAAAAGGCTGCAGGCCAGTCTGATATGAAATGCTAGGAAAAATGAGAGCAAAAGCAGACCCTTACCTAGCCACAGTTCACAGCTAGTGGCTGAAGGGTGACCCTTAAGAAGTCTTAACACCCACCAAGCTTACAGGCTCAGGTATGGCTGACCACTCCCACTCCTGCAAGGCCCTGAGTCTCATGTTACCTCGTGCTCAGTGGCCTGAATGCCTGTCCACCTCCACCCGGGCATCTCTGTGCTTTAATTAAAAGGCCAGTCCAGAGCTTCTCCTTCTGGGAGGGTTTGCTGCACCCCACATTAGGTGTCCTCTGGTGCTCACACTACACTGACCGACTTCCTTGCCCTTTCCCTTTAAGAGCAACTTGAGGGCAGTGTCCCCTGGGCCTACAGGTGAACATGTGTTGCTTGTACAGAAACTCCACCCCCTTTTCTCTGTAGTACCCACCCCATTAGTATGGCTCTGCCCTCGAGAACTACAAAGAACGAGGGTCCTAGCCCTTCTGCATGACAGGAAGAGTTGTTAGAAAAGGTATGCACAGTATCTCAACAGACAGGGCTATGACTGTACAAGTGCAGGAATTCTTGAACTTTTGGAAGCATGGGAGTTCCTTGGGACACCTGTTAAGATGTAGACTGCTGGCCCCTCCTACAACTCAAAGGTTCTGTCTAGCAAGTTGGGAATGGTGCCCAGGGACCTGCATCTTAACAAGCATCTGGATAATTTTGGTGTGGTGGGTGGGTGGGAGGGTGGGGAGGCTGCTGACCATTCTTTCAGACCAACTGGACAGCAGGTGGAACATGAACTGAGAATCAGAGTCTTACTCCAACTCTCCACTTGCTGGCTGTGGAACCTACAAGTGACTTAAACTTGTTCACCTCAGCCTTCTCATCTGTAAGGGTCAGACAACGTCCCAATCTCATGGCTCCCCTTGAAGATTAAGTAAACTGCCTAGCACATATTAGGTGCTCAAGAAAGAAGAAACTTTTACTATGAAATAAATAATTGAGGTAGTTAGTGCAAAGAGTTAGGGTAGGTAAGAAATTAAAATTCAAGATAAAAAATGCTCACAGAAATGAATCTCATATAATCCTATAATGCAGCTGGAATTCCAGCTGAGTTTCCTAAGGCCAAAGCAGAAAAGGAAACATGATCAGCTACAAGACTCAGTGACCATAAAATAAAAACAAACTCACTGTTTAAGAATCTTTTATCCTAAGAAAAAAACCTGTCCTATAGGTATATTTTATGAGAAGTGTAATGTAGTTGAAAATGCCCTTGATGACATCCTACCTTAAACGCAAGGTATTCTTCCATGACTATAATTGTAATCACAGGTGAAAGAAAGCTAGTGGCATAGCACCAAAGCACAGTTCAGAAAAGGCACTTCAATGAGACACCAAAACACAACAGCAAGTTCACAGCCCTCTTCTGATTTGATCCAAGAAAAAGTATATAGAATACATAGAACAGAACTCAAGCACCAGAACACTCTCAAGCAATATATGTCTCGAGTTTTCATTCATTCAGTATTTATTGAGCACCTCCTTTATGCTGGCATTTTATCAGGCAGCCATGACAATAAAGCTGTACAGAGGATAGACACCCCCTACCCTCATGCAGTATCTATCTATACTAGTTGCAGTGGGAGGAGACAGATAAACATACAAGACAATTTCAAATTGTGAAAGGTGCTGTGAAGGAAATAAGTAGTATGTGTTGTGATAGAGAAATGGGGTAGGAGGAGTCATATTACAGGCCAGGTAGTGAGGGCAGGCACCCTCTGGGGATTTTTGGTAAGGATTGTGCAGCAGCAAAGCCAAGGTCATAATCAGTGGAGGGGCCTGAACAGCAGGTATTCTGAGAGGCTAATCAGAACTTGCCTGTACACTTTGAAAACCCACTGGGTAAAGCCAAGGTCCTTGCACGGAAATTAAGAAACAATGGTCAAGTTGTATGCTGTGAACTCTGAGGACCAAGAACTGCTCCTGGTGGCTACCTGGGCAAAAAAAAAAAAAAAAAAAGCAGAGCCTAGCAGCCATTTCTGCATAGAATTCTGCATAGAAGGGTTCTCAAGTCAAGGAGAAGCCTCTGCACTGAACTGCCTGCCTGCATTGTATTGCTGCTAGCTGAGCCAGCCCTTATAAAGGAGTTCCTGGAATCCTATTTCAACCATTAGGACTGAGGCTTTCCCAATCCAATCAGAGCTGTGCAGCTCAGACCAATTGGAGCAGCTCTATTCTGACCAATCAGGGACGAGGGGCTGGGACTTCTGTCTATATAAGCCAGCTCCCAGCCTACCAAAGACTGACCCTGAACACCACCTCACAGCAGAGCTTCCTTGCTGAAGGAGGGGCCTGGCCCAGGGCAGCTGTGATGCAGTACTGTGGAGCTCAGCAGTACTGTTTTCATAGTCACGCTGTATTACCGTGGAGCTGTTTGCACCAAAGAAAGTTTCCTTCTTCACTCCAAATTGGGGATTCCTGTTAGCGTTTGAATTGGCACCAATGACCATTGGTGGACAGCACCTAGATGCAGAATTTAGTAAAGGATGAGGATAGTGTCCCAAAAATCTGTTTAGGAGAGAGAACTAACTAGTGATACAGTAAGTGGATTTGCTTTGGGAGCCTGGAAAGTAGAATTGGAAGACAGAGAGCACAGGGAATGAGACAAGAGGGCTAGCTGACCAGGAAATGGGATGATGACAAGCCTGGAGGTCACAGGCCACAAGCTAATTCAAATAATTGGCAAAACAGACCAACCAACGTTTTAAAATGTAAATGGGTGAAATTCTACCAAATTTTGAAAGAACAGTTAATGCTTATCTAATACAAGTAATTCAAAAAATTAGGAAAAGAAGGAAGACTAATAATCTCACTATATGGGCTGGTGTAATTTTTTAAGAAAAGCATTTCCTAGTGGCATTCCACTTATATAGCAGAAAATTTGAGAATAGAGATAAGAAAAAATCCTATATAATAAAAGCCTAATATGCTAAGTGTTCGACCGTTCATTCGACCGTTTGACCAGTCGCTATGATGTGCACTAACCACCAGGGGGCAGAGGCTCTGACTGGTAGGTTAGCTTGCTGCTGGGGTCCAGCCGATCAGGACTGGATGAGAGAGGCTGGACATGCCCTGGAGCCACCCTCCTGCGATCCCTCCCTGGCCTCTGAAATATTTCTTCTAATTAATTTCCTTTCAATGTGCACGAATCCATGCACTGGGCCTCTAGTAAATACGTAATTTTCTCTAAGCTGGTTTATTCCAAAACAAAAGACAACATGAGAAAAATTGTAGGTCTACCTCACATGAATATAGATGTGAAATCCTAAATATAACATGAGCTAATGAAATCTAACAGTGTGCTAAGATAATATGTTATGATTAAGCAGGATTTGTGAAAGAAATTCAAGGATGCTTAAATATCAGAAATTCAATCCCTATAATTAACCACATTTATAAAAAGAGGGAAATAATAGAAATATCTCAATGCAAAAAAGGCAGGTAATAAAGTTTAATAATACCTATTTGTGATTTTAAACAATCAAAACTCTAACAAATTAGGAAGAGAAGGAGACATCTTTAACTTACTAAAGGTGATATACCAAAAACTTATGGCAAACTCATATGTAATGGAGAAACTGTGGATACATTCCCTATAAGACTGGTATCAAACAAGGGTGCTTCTACTAATATTATTGTTATTGGATATGCTGGTAAATGGAATAGAAAAAAAGAAATGAATGGTGTAAGGATTGAAAGGTAAAACTATCAGTATTTATAAATTATAAAAATGTATCCTATACAATAAAAGCCTAATATGCAAATTGTCCCCTCAACTGGGAGTTCAACTGGGAGTTTGACCAGAGATGGGGCCAGCCGGCCAACCATCCACGGCCCCTCCCCGGCTAGTGGTGGTGGCAGGCAGCAGGGGGAAGGGTGGCTCCGGCCAGAAGCCGGTAGCTGGCAGCCAGCAGCGGCTAGGGACCCTAACTATGCATGAAATTTCGTGCACTGCGTCTCTAGTATGAAAAAATAAAGATTTAAAAACTAAGTCAATCTTAAAAAATAAAAGTTAAAAGGGGGAATATGCCCTATTAGATATCAAGACAACTTATACATTCCTATTTTAAAAATAGTGTGGTACAGACAAATAGACCAATGGAAGAAAAAAGTAAGCTCAGAGATAGACCTAAGTATATATGGGAATTTAGCACATGACAAAATAACACACACAAAAAATCAATGAAAAA